ACCCCGTCTCTACTAAAAACACAAAAAATTAGCCGTGTGCAGTGGTGGGCACCTGTAGTCCCAGCTACTCGGGAGGCTGAGGCAGGAGAATGGCACGCACCCGGGAGGTGGAGCTTGCAGTGAGCTGAGATCACACCACTGCACTCCAGCCTGGGTGACACAGCGATACTCCATCTCAAAAAGAAAAAACAAAAAGAAAATTAGCCAGGCATGGTGGCACGTGCCTGTAGTCCCAGCTACTCAGGAGGCTGAAGCAGGAGAATTGCTTAAACCCAGGAGGCAGAGGTTGCAGTGAGCCAAGATCGCACCACTGCACTCCAGCCTGGGCAAAAGAGCAAGACTCTGTCTCAAAAAAAAACAACAAAAGGCCGGGCGCGGTGGCTCAAGCCTGTAATCCCAGCACTTTGGGAGGCCGAGATGGGTGGATCACGAGGTCAGGAGATCGAGATCATCCTGGCTAACACGGTGAAACCTCGTCTCTACTAAAAAAATACAAACACCTAGCCGGGCGAGGTGGTGGGCGCCTGTAGTCCCAGCTACTCGGGAGGCTGAGGCAGGAGAATGGCGTAAACCCGGGAGGCGGAGCTTGCAGTGAGCTGAGATCCGGCCACGGCACTCCAGCCTGGGTGACAGAGCGAGACTCCGTCTCAAAAAAAAAAAAAAAAACCTTTAGTGCCTCAGTTTTCCCTTTTGCAAAATGAGATGTACCTTTTCTGCAAGCCCTTAAGTGGCGGTTCCATGTGGCCCAGTGGGAGTCAGATGCCCCCCACCTTGGGCCCCAAGAGGGAGTGGGGTGTGTGGATGGCGGGAAGTATTAAGGAGAACCCCCTCCCTCCCATTTACTTGTAGGTTTGAGATTGAAATTGAGCCCATCTTTGGGATCTTGGCTCTGTATGACGTGCGGGAGAAAAAGAAGGTAGGAGCCCCTTTTTTCTCTTTCCTCCCCTTCCTCCTCCTTGTTGGGGGGCTGTGGGCTTCCCAGAAGTAGTAGCCCAGCTGCCTCTGGTATTCCCAGATCTCGGAGAACTTCTACTTCGACCTGAACTCGGACTCCATAAAGGGGCTGCTTCGGGCTCATGGCACCCACCCTGCCATCTCCACCTTGGCCCGCTCTGCCATCTTCTCCGTGACCTACCCCTCACCTGACATCTTCCTGGTCATCAAGGTACCTGCTGGGGCTGGGCAAGGGGGTGGTAATACCGAATGCCTGTCACTGGTTCAGTCCCTGCCTTCACAGAATGAGACAGATACATCACCAAGAAGGGTAATCAGGGCTGTTGCCAGGGTCACACAGGCTAGGAGGAGGTCCCTAACCCAACTCAGGTGGGGAGAAATCACCGAGGGCTTCCAGGGAGAGGCGACAGTTGAGCTGAGAACCATAAGTGGACAGCCTGGGAAGAAAAACCATCCCTGGGCACATGTAACAGGCTGGGGTCCTCAGAGGCAGGTGAGATGCTGTTGGGAAGTTTGTGGACAGATGAAAGACCTAGTTGGCACCCTCATTTGAGAGTTTCTCTTTCTGGGAGTGAGGACAAGTTTCTTTTCTCAAAATCTTCAATTAGGTTGCAATGATGAAATGAATCCAGTGTTCACAGGCAGGTGCTGCTACGGTCATGCTTCACAGGGATCCCATCTTCAGTCCTCACCACAGGCCCCAAGGTGGAGGGGTGCCATAGCTCCCATTTCCAGATGGGGAAACTGAGGCACAGAGTAGCTAGGGTCCCACTGCCCAGGGTCTCACAGCCCCTGAGTGGTCAGGATTGGAGTCTAGGCCTCATGGTTCAGAGCCATGCCCAGAGTGGCTTTTGTTTACACTAACAAAGAAAAATGTAGGGAAGGCCAGGCACGGTGACTCATGACTGTAGTCCTAGCACTTTGAGAGGCTGAGACGGGAGGATCGCTTTAGCCCAGGAGGTCGAGACCAACCTGGCCAACATGGTGAAACCCATTCTCTACAAAAAATACAAAAATTAGCTGGCGTAGTAGCAGGTGCCTGTAATCCCAGCTACTCTGGAGGCTGAGGCAGGAGAATTGCTTGAACCCGGGAGGCAGAGGTTGCAGTGAGCCGAGATTGCACCATTGCACTCCAGTCTGGGTGATAGAGCGAGACTCCATTAAAAAAAAAAAAAAAAAAGGCCAGGTGTGGTGGGTCATGCCTGTAATCCCAGCTACTTAGGAAGCTGAGGCAGGAGAATCGCTTGAACTCAGGAGGCAGAGGTTGCAGTGAGCTGAGATCCCACCACGCACTTCAGCCTGGGCAACAGGGGAGACTCTGACTCTGTCTCAAAAAAAAAAAAAAAAAAAAAGGCTGGGCGCGGTGGCTCACGCCTGTAATCCCAGCACTTTGGGAGGCCAAGGCGGGCGGATCACGAGGTCAGGAGATCGAGACCATCCTGGCAAACATGGTGAAACCCTGTTTCTACTAAAAATACAAAAAAATTAGTCAGGTGTGGTGGCGGGTGCCAGTTACTTGGGAGGTTGAGGCAGGAGAATGCCATGAACCCGGAGGGGGCGGAGCTTGCAGTGAGCGGACATCACGCCACTGCACTCCAGCCTGGGCAACAAAGCAAGACTCTGTCTCAAAAAAAAAAAAATTTTGCATGGCAAGCCGGGGACGTGATGGCTCATGCCTGTTATGCCAGCACTTTGGGAGGCAGAGGCGGGGGCATCACTTGAGCCCAGGAGTTTGAGACCAGCCTGGGCAACATAGCGAGACCCCTGTCTCTATAATACATACATACATACATACATACATATATACATACATAAATGTAAATAAATAAGTAAATGTAGGGAAAATATCACCAGCTAAAAGTGGGCTTGGAGTTTGGGGGTGGATCTGAAGAATGGGAGGGAGTAGCCACCAGGCAGGTCAAGCACTAATCCTTGATCCCAAGGACAGTGGGAGCCATGGGAAGTGTTGGAGTGAAAGCCTTCATATGATAGGAGTGTCTGAGGGCCCATGAGGGGTCCTGGAGGCTGGGGAGTCAGTAGGAGGGAACAGAGCGTTCAGGCGGTGCCTCACTGGATTCATTCATCTGCCCCGCAGTTGGAGAAGGTGCTTCAGCAAGGGGACATCAGTGAGTGCTGTGAGCCTTACATGGTGATGAAAGAAGTAGACACAGCCAAGGTAAGTGTGTGGGGGCTGAACCAGGGGCAGGCCAGATTCCTGACTCAGCAGGGCTAGGATGCTGAGCTGGCAGGGGACGGGGGTCTCCCCATAGAACAAAGAGAAGCTAGAGAAGCTGCGCCTGGCAGCTGAGCAGTTCTGCACCCGCCTGGGCCGCTACCGCATGCCCTTTGCCTGGACGGCCGTGCACTTGGCCAACATCGTGAGCAGCGCTGGGCAGCTGGACCGGGACTCTGACTCGGAGGGCGGTGAGGAGGCGGGGCTAACAGCCCTGGGGCGGGAATAGGGGCGGGGCTAAAGGGTGGTGCTGACAGGCCTGGGGCGGGGCTACGGAGCGATGGGGGTGCGCCCTCTGCTGGCCGAACTGTGCCGCCCCTGAGTCTCCTTGTTTCATCTTGGTCCCCCTTTGGTCATTGTCACTCCCTCCTCTAGAGCGCCGGCCAGCTTGGACAGACCGCCGCCGTCGGGGGCCCCAGGACCGGGCGAGTAGTGGGGACGACGCCTGCAGCTTCTCTGGCTTCCGCCCAGCCACGCTAACTGTCACAAACTTCTTTAAGCAGGTGTCCTACCCCGGGGCCAGGGACTCCCCCGCTCCCCGCTGGCTGCATCAGCCCTGGGGACCCCCTAGCCCCCTGGCCCAGGCTGACGGGAGCGGGTCCCATGTAGGAGGCTGAGCGACTTAGTGACGAGGACCTCTTCAAGTTCCTGGCTGACATGAGGCGCCCGTCGTCCCTGCTGCGGCGACTACGTCCTGTGACTGGTGCGTGGCACACCCCATACACAAGAAGTATCACTCTCACTCAGTCACTCAACAAACCTACACCGAGAGCACCTACTGTGCCAGGGGCATCAGAGACCCAACCATGACCTTGATAGACAAATCCCTGACCTTGGGGGCTGACTGTGCCTTCTAATGAGGACCATAGACAAGAAGCAGAATAAATAAGATGGATATAGGGTGGATAATGGCAGCGGGGCAGGCAGGGGTCCTGGGGGCAGAGTTGATCAAATGTAGGGGTAAGGCTGGGGTGCAGTGGCTCAAGCCTGTAACCCCAATACTTTGGGAGGCTGAGGCAGGAGGAAGATCGTTTGAGCACAGGAGCTCAAGACCAGCCTGGGGGCCAGGTGCAGCGGCTCATACCTGTAATCCCAGCACTTTGGGAGGCCGAGGCGGGCAGATCACTTGAGGTCAGGAGTTTGAGACCAGCCTGGCCAACACGGTGAAACTCCGTCTCTACTAAAAATACAAAAATTCACCTGGTGTGGTGGCACACACCTGTAATCCTAGCTACCTGGGAGGCTGAGGCAGGAGAATCACTTGAACTGGGGAGGCAGAGGTTGCAGTGAGCCAAGATCGCTCCACTGCACTCCAGCCTGGGCGACAGAGCCCGACTCCACTTAAAAAAAAAGAAAAACAAAAACAAAAAAAACTGTAGGATGAGAGACAGCAAAGTTGAGGGCAGTTTCTGGACTTGGCACCTGAGGGACACAGCCCCCAGTCCCCAGAGAACATCGTGGGAGAGCCTGCCCTGACTCCACAGCCCAGACAGGGTGGGCTGGGCCGGGAGGCTCCCAGGCAGGTGCAAACTGGTTCTTCCCTTCCCAGCCCAGCTCAAGATCGACATTTCTCCAGCTCCGGAAAATCCCCACTTCTGCCTCTCCCCCGAGCTGCTTCATATCAAGCCCTATCCGGACCCCAGGGGCCGGCCCACCAAGGAGATCCTGGAGTTCCCTGCTCGCGAAGTCTACGCCCCCCACACCAGCTATAGGTACAGCCTCTGGGGCCCAGCTGGGCACTTGAATGGGAGGTATTCGTACATCATGCTGGTTGGGGTCTCCCTAAGCCGAGGACACACACAGACACCCTGGGTGAGATGCCACGACTCTGCTTTAATAAGGGGGGTGTGTAGGCATGAAAGGGTACACATCCTTCCTCCACCCCTCCCCAATGGGGCTACGTCCTCTGCCTTTGTCCCTGCCTGCGTCTGTCTCTGCTCTGTGCTCAGAAGTGGGGCCCGGCGCCCTGGCTGATCCCAGTGAACAGGCAGCTCCTCCCTGTTCAGGGGCCTCATGGGGCGTGGAAGTGTTCCTTGCAGCATGGTTGGTCCTCAGTTCCATCCAGGCAGATTCAGGCTGGGAGCGCCGCTTTGTGGATTCTGGGGAGGGAGATGTGGCTCATCCCAGGTGAGGGGGCCCCTTTTCAGCTGCCCTGTGCACCCCCCATCCAACTGCCCTGCCTCCCAAACCCCCGCCAGGCTCACCTCTCCTGGATCTGTCGCAGCCGATGCTGCTGTGCCACCATCTCCCGCCTCTGCCGCTGCACGTGGCCTGTGAGGGCCCACAGGATGTGGCTCTGCTTGTCAGCGTGAGCCTGTAGGGGTCAGAATGGAAACCTCAGCCGACGGCCACCTCACCTCCCATCTCCTGACCCCCTGCCCTGGCCCCCCTATTGTATCTGTGTGACCCAGCAAGTCAGCAATGCTCTTTGGCCTCAGTTTCTCCATCTGTACAATGGGGATAAAATAGGACTCACTTCATGGGGAGGTGATAAACATCGTATGGATTTTTTTTTTTTTTTTTGAGACAAAGTCTCTCTCTGTCACCCAGGCTGGAATGCAGTGACATGATCTTAGCTCACTGCAACCTCCGCCTCCCGGGTTCAAGCAATTCTCCTACCTAAGCCTCCTGAGTAGCTGGAACTACAGTCACGTGCCACCAGGCCCAGCTAATTTTTTGTATTTTTAGTAGAGATGGGGTTTCACCATGTTGGCCAGGCTGGTCTCCAACTCCTGACCTTAAGTGATCCACCCGCCTCAGCCTCCCAAAGTGCTGGGATTACAGATGTGAGCCACCAAGCCCGGCCATCGTATGAATTATTAAAGGGCATAGAACAGTGCTGGGTACTTATTGGGTGCTTACAAAATATTACTAGTTTCTCTAGTAGTAAGAATTTATTGGCCAGGTGCTCACACCTGTAATCCCACCACTTTGGGAAGCCAAGGTAGGCAGATCCCTTGAGGTCAGGAGTTCGAGACCAGCCTGGCCAACATGGTGAAATGCCATCTCTACTAAAAATACAAAAATTAGCTGGTGCACCTGTAATTCCAGCTACTCTGGAGGCTAAAGCAGGAGAATCACTTGAACCCAGGAGGTGGAGGTTGCAGTGAGCCAAGATCATGCCACCGTACTCCAACCTGGGTGACAGTGAGACTCTGTCTGATAAAAAAAAAAAAAAGAAAAAGAATTTATTGAGTGCCAACTGTGTGCCCGCCCCATGCTGAATATTTTACCTGCATTGAGTACCTGGCCCTACTGTGAGACACCAGGTGTTGCCCTTATTTGCAAATGGAAAACTGAGGCACACAAAAGGACTTGGTTTTTGTCTGGGGACATGCAGAGTAGAGGCCACAGAGCTGGGAGGCTGATCTGGGAGGTCTTTGGGACTTAGGTGCAGAAGCGAGTTCTGGCCGGGAATCAGGGTCTCAGCCTGCTAGGGCTGGGGGAGCCCCTTACCTTTAAGACCTCAAATTCTTGGTAGGCAGGGCCCAGCCAGGCGCTCCTCAGCTGGACTTCTAGCCGCTGCACACTGTCCTGTAACACCTTCTGTGCCTGGGCCACCTCCTCCAGCACCTCGGCTGTGGCCTCTGCCTTCAGCTGCAGAATATCCTCCTCCATCTGCTTAATAAACAGGGGGTCACTAGTAGGATGACCAACTCATCTTTGTGTACCTAAGGATTTGCCTGAGTTTATTGCTGAAAATTTTGTATCCCAGGAATCCCCTCAGTCCTGGGTAAACCAGGATGGTTGGTTACCCTAGACACGAACTCCTCTTCGAACTCCTGACCACCCCACAGTGTCGCAGCTGTGGTGCCCACCTGAGTCTCCAACAGGCTTGCCCGAAGTTCCTGGGCTGCATCCCGGCCCCGGCTAACCTCCTGCCCCAGGAGTTCCATTGTGCGGCCATAGAGACCCAGGCTGTTCCTGGCCTTTGTCAGCCGTCCCTCCGTGGTCTTGTACACACCATTGAGGGCCTGGCCCAGCTGCAGGGTCCCGTGGAAGAGCAGGGTCAGCTCCTCATGCTCTGCTAGTTCTGGGCTGCTCACAGGGGCCGCTGAGGCAGGCTGGATCACCATTGCCAGGGCCCACAGCAGACACAGAGCGGGCACCGGCATGACTGAGGGTCTGAGTGTGTAGCCACAGCACCGTCACTGAAGCCTTTTATGTCTCACACCCCCACTGATCCCCAGTCAATCGTTAACTGGCCAGCCGGGTGCCCCGCATTGCACAAGGGCCTGGCGGTGGTGCGATAATTGCATCATGCGAATGTCCGGCTGGGCCACGCCGGGATCACGCTTCCTGGGGCTCAGGGCCAGGTGTGGGTGGGGGGCATTGGGAGAGGATGGGCCCCAGACCCCGCTGGGAGTTCCTGAGACTCACCATGCTGAGCCTGTTTCTCCATCTATGAATAGGCATCGCAATGATGGTAATAATAGTGAAGATTTTTTTTTTTTTTGAGATGGAGTCTCGCTCTGTTGCCCAGGCTGGAGTGCAGTGGCCGAATCTCAGCTCACTGCAAGCTCCGCCTCCCGGGTTTATGCCATTCTCCTGCCTCAGCCTCCCGAATAGCTGGGACTACAGGCGCCTGCCACCTCGCCCGGCTAGTTTTTTGTATTTTTTAGTAGAGACAGGGTTTCACCGTGTTAGCCAGGATGGTCTCGATCTCCTGACCTCATGATCCGCCTGTCTCGGCCTCCCAAAGTGCTGGGATTACAGGCTTGAGCTACCGTGCCTGGCCAATAGTGAAGATTTTATAAGCATTGAGGGCGTTTATTGGCCTGGTTAGTAGCCAAGGGGGCAGGTGCAGGTGGCAGAGACTCTCCCAAGGTCACACAGCCTGATCTCCAAGACCTGCATATACCCAGATCACCACTGACTGCCATTTTAGTCCCTGGCAGATTGTGCAAGTACCTCAGTTTCCCTTCCTGTAAAATGGTGGTGATGTTAGTCCTGCCTCATGAGCTACTTGTGAGAAGTAAATGAGTGATTTCATGTTGAGTGCTTAGAACAGAGCCTGGCACACAGTAGGTGCAATTACTGTATTGTTGTAGTAATAGTGTTTGGTGCAGTTATTGTCACTGTTGTTATTTATCATTATCAGTATCGTTACAAAGGCTCAGCTGGAAGGCCTGAAGTGCCCATTATACACACAGGGAAACTGAGGCCCAGAGAGAGGTCAAGGCTTGCACAGAGTTGCCCCTGGGGGAAGGAGGCAGGACTCTGACTCTGGCCTCAGTTTCTGCACCTGAGAAATAGGCCACATAATTCTAGTGACCTCCTAGGGGAAGGGCAGTCAGGCCCTCGGGTGGGGCTTAGGCTTGGCCACTGGCCACCTGAGCCACCTTGGAACTCTGGCCCCGAGTGCTTCGTTGTTCTCTGCCTTCTGTGTGTCATTGTGTCCGTGAGTGCCTCCGATGTCTCTCTGTGTTCCCACCCTCTACCACGCTGTTCCCAATCCGTGCTTTGAGGGTACTCACTTGTCCTCCACCCTCTGCCCTCTGTCCTATCTCCTGCCTGATACCTATATTACCTCTCACCTGCCCCAGCCTCATGACCCACTCTTCCCGGACTGTCTGTGCTCCCAGCCAGCCTTGTCCCATCACCCCAGCCTCATATGTGCACCTTCAGGAGCCCTGTTCCTCTGACACCCCCATCCTGCCCCCGACAGGAACCTGCTGTACGTGTACCCGCACAGCCTCAACTTCAGCAGCCGCCAGGGCTCCGTGCGCAACCTTGCCGTACGAGTGCAGTACATGACAGGCGAGGACCCCAGCCAGGCCCTGCCGGTCAGTGACTGCACCCCAGGGAAGGGGGGGAGGGCATCCCCCGTGGGTTCCTTATGCATCCACTCTGCCAGGTCATCTTTGGCAAGTCCAGCTGCGCTGAATTTACCCGCGAGGCCTTCACACCGGTGGTCTACCATCACAAGTATGTAGGGGGACATGTGAGGAACTCGGGGGCACTCATGGGGATAGGAGGATGTCCCTTATATATACACATAGGGCAGCGTCGATGAGAAGATGGGGGGCAGGAAGAAGAGAGGTAGAGGCTCCCAGAGTGCTAATGAGGGAAGCTGGGGCAGAGAGCAGAGACAGTGAGGCCCAGCAGCAATGAGGGCGTGGCATGGCAGAGGTGATGGCGCAGACAGTGGGGACCCCAGCCCCCAGCAGATCCCCCAGCCCGATTCTCCCAGGTCCCCTGAGTTCTACGAGGAGTTCAAGCTGCATCTTCCAGCCTGCGTGACAGAGAACCATCACCTGCTGTTCACCTTCTACCACATCAGCTGCCAGCCCCGGCCGGGCACTGCCCTGGAGACGCCCGTGGGCTTTACTGTGAGCCGTCCCCTCCCTTCCTCCCCCTGAGCCCTCCTCGTCCCCAAGCCTGGCCGCAGACCTAACCTCCAGCCTCTCCCCAGTGGATCCCACTGCTGCAGCATGGGCGCCTGAGGACCGGCCCCTTCTGTCTCCCGGTGTCCGTGGACCAGCCGCCGCCCAGCTATTCCGTGCTCACACCCGATGTATGTGCCCCGGAGCGCCTGCCTGCCAATGCACTCTCCCCAGAAGCACTCCCGAGTCACCTGCCTGCCTTCCTGTCAATCCTGGGAGGCTTGTTGGCCTCTACTGGTGCCTCCAGGGCCCCTGTGTAGCTCATTATCCCCCTATTAATGCCTCTCTGTGTCCTACCTGTCCTCCCCAAAGATTCCCGTTGCCTCTCTGCTCCATTCCCACATTAGCACCCTGCTTGCCTTCCTGATCACTGTCCCCTGCCCCCGCAGTACCTTATCATTCCCCATGAATGCACCATCATTAATGACTCGAGGCCTCAAATCCTCCTATCCTGTTTCCTGACCTACTCAATGAGTGTTCATTCACCCTGTGTCTCCATTCTCTGCCCCCTCCTTGGCATGTGGGTTTTCCAGCCTGCCCCGTGGACCCCCTCAGTCTACTGGGACCAGGGCTGGGGTCAGGGTGCTTGGTTGCACCCCCAGACCGGGCTATACTCACGCCACAGTGTCGCAATGGCTGGGGCCGCTGGGTGACCTGATCAGTCGGGGAGGGCTGACCAGTGCCCACCCGGTGCCTCCCTCCCACAGGTGGCGCTGCCGGGCATGCGCTGGGTGGACGGTCACAAGGGCGTGTTCAGTGTGGAGCTCACGGCCGTGTCCTCTGTGCACCCCCAGGTACGGGGTGGGGCGGGAACCCAAGAGTCCTGCCCTGCTCCCCTCTTGCCTGCCCTAGGATTGAGTAACAGTTGCCGATGGCCGGGGAGGTCTGGCCTCGGGCCTTGGACGTGACTTTGGTCAGCTGCTGATTCAGGCGGGGGTGGTCTTCGTCCCCTGGGGCCCCACCCTGCTCACTCCATGTCCCTACCCAGGACCCCCACCTGGACAAATTCTTCACCCTGGTGCATGTCCTGGAGGAGGGGGCCTTCCCATTCCGGCTCAAGGACGCTGTGCTGAGCGAGGGCAACGTGGAGCAGGAGCTGCGGGCCAGTCTTGCCGCACTGCGCCTGGCCAGCCCCGAACCCCTCGTGGCCTTCTCCCACCACGTGCTGGACAAGCTCGTGCGTCTGGTCGTCAGGCCCCCGATCATCAGTGGCCAGATTGGTAAGCGGATGTGGCCTCAGACCTCAGTTTCCCCATCCAGCACATGGCTCCTCAGTCCTGAGGTCCTGAGGGAACTTCTATAGGTCCATTTACCTCTCTGGCCATTTGTCTCATCTGATAAATGACCCCCAGTCCCCTACACCCAGAGAAGGTCTTCTGTGACCCTTTGGCTGGGCACGGCGGCTCACGCCTGTCATCCCAGCACTGTGGGAGGCCGAGGCGGGCAGATCACCTGAGGTCAGGAGTTCAAGACCAGCCTGACCAACGTGGAGAAACCCCGTCTCTACTAAAAATACAAAATTAGTTGGGCGTGGTGGCACGTGCCTGTAATCCCAGCTACTCGGGAGGCTGAGGCAGGAGAACTGCTTGAACCTGAGAGGCAGAAGTTTCAGTGAGCCAAGATCATGCCACTGCATTCCAGTCAGGGCAACAAGAGCAAAAATCCATCTAAAAAAAAAAAAAATCTGTGACCCTTTAATGAGCACATGATCCCTCGAATCCTGATGTCTTTATATTTGGAAAGTGGGCGGGGAGGTGAGAGGCCTTGGGCCCTGGAACTTGACCTCTGCTTTGCCCGGCAGTGAACCTGGGCCGTGGAGCCTTTGAAGCAATGGCCCATGTAGTCAGCCTTGTCCACCGGAGCCTGGAGGCAGCCCAGGATGCCCGCGGTCACTGCCCACAGCTGGCTGCCTACATCCACTACGCATTTCGCCTGCCTGGCACTGAGCCCAGCCTCCCGGATGGTAAGTTCGTAAAAATCCCTGGGAGACAAGAAATATCTAGGAGAAGAGGCTGGGTGCGGTGGCTCACACTTGTAATCCCAGGACTTTGGGAGGCTGAGGTGGATGGATCATTTGAGGTCAGGAGTTTGAGATCAACCTGGCCAACATGATGAAACCCTGTTTCTACTAAAAATACAAAAATTAGCTGGGGCCAGGCACAGTGGCTTATGCCTATAATCCCAGCACTTTAGGAGGCCAAGGCAGGTGGATCACTTCAGGGGGTCAGGAGTTCAAGACCAGCCTGGCCAAAATGGTGCAACGCCGTCTCTACTAAAAAAACAAAAATTAGCCAGGTGTGGTGGTAGGTGCCTGTAATCCCAGCTACTAGGGGGGCCGAATCATTTGAACCCGGGAGGCAGAGGTTGCAGTGAGCCAAGATCATGCCACCGCACTCCAGCCTGGGTGACAGAGTGAAACTCTGTCTCAAAAAAAAAAAAAATTAGCCAGGTGTGGTGGCACACGCCTGTAGCCCCAGCTACTCAGGAGGCTGAGGCAGAAGAATCACTTGAACCCGGGAAATGGAGGTTGCAGTGAGCCAAGATCACGCCACTGCACTCCAGCCTGGGCGACAGAGCAAGACTCTGTTTCAAAAAAAAAAAAAAAAGGAAAGAAAGATCTGGGAGAAGAGCATCCAAGTAGTGAGAATAGCATGTGCAAATGCCCTGAGGCCTCACGGACCTTGGCTGGTTTGAGTAACTTGCAAGAGAGATAATGTCTTGCCCACTTTTGCCCCATCCTTGGGCTGTGGTTTCTGTT